ATACCATGCTATGATGTGGTGAAGCTTGAAAACATGCCAAGTGAAAGAAACCAAACACAGATGTCCACATACTATATGACTCTATTCTTAGGAAACTCCAGGATCTATAGAGTTAGAAGGTAGATCAGTGATTGCTTATGGCTGGCATTGGGCTATGGGAAGATATGAGTTGGCATTGGTTAATGGATATGGGTTTCTTTTTGAGGTGTTGAAAAATGTTCTAAGGGCAGCACCTGTGGCTCAGTGAGTAGGGCCTTGGCCCCAGCCAAACTGCAACAAAAAATAGCTGGGCGTTGTGGTAGGTGGCTGTAGTCCCAGCTACTTGGGAGGCTGAGGCAAGAGAATTGCCTAAGCCCAAGAGCTGGAGGTTGCTGTGAGCTGCGATGCTACGGCACTCTACTAAGGGCAACAAAGTGAGACTCTGTTTCTAAAAAAAAGAAAAATGTTCTAAAAGTGACTGATGTGATGGTTTAACAACTCTTAATATACTAAAAACCACTGAATTGTACACTCTAAAGGGGTACATTGTATGATATGTGAATTATATCTTTGTAAAGCTGTTTCAGAAAAACATCAAGTAAAGTACATATCTTACTTGCATCTAAAAAAGTTGGAAAACAGTTTAAGTGAATCAGGAAGTATGAACCCTTGACGTTAATAAGAAATCACTTAATTTTTTAATATGTGATTTTTTTCGTTATGTTTTTAAAGGATTTTTTTTGGAATGTATACTTTTATGTTGTAAATAAAATATTTTGTTTTTGATTCTCTATAAAATAATGAAGGGTAGGTATATAGATGAAACAAGATTAGCCACATGTTGATTACCAGTTGAATCCTTAAATGGCTTATTTTCTCTTTTATTTTTAATTTTTTTTTTTTTTGAGATAGTCTCACTCTTTTGCCCTGGGTAGAGAGTACTATGGCACCATAGCTCACAGCAACCTCGAACGCATGGGCTCAAGCTGTCCTCTTGCTTCAGCCTCCCCAGTAGTTGGGACTATAGACGACTGCCACAATGCCTGGCTAGTTTTTCTTTTAGTAGAGACAAGGGTCTGACTTTTGCTCAGGGCTGTCTTGAACTCCTGAGCTCTAACAACCCTCCCACCTTGGCCTCCCAAAGTGCTAGAAATTACAGGCGTGAGCCACTGTGCCCAGCCAGAAATGGATAATTTTAATAGAAAATATTGTCTTCCCATTGGACTCAAGAAAAGAATATAACTTTTAAAGAAATTTGAGAATTCAAATTCTTTCCCACTTCTTATGAGAGTACCAAACTGAAAAGATTTGGGGGGTAGTTTTAACCAAATTACCATGAGGAAATAGGAAAATCTACATAACTAATTTAGGAATTTAATAAAACCTTGTAACAGCAGCATAGGAAGAGAAAAATATAGATCA